ACGACAGTTCTGCGTTTCGCGACCAGGACCCCCCCGATCCCTGCGACTGTTGACACTGTTGAGACCCGAAGACCCGACGCGAGTCCAAAAGTGATGACAGTTCTGCGTTTCGCGACCCGCACCCCCCGATCCCTGTGACTGTTGGCACTTTCAGTTCTGCGTTTCGCGACCCGAACCCCTCCGATCCCTGTGACTGTTGGCACTTTTGAAACGCGAAGATCTGACACGAGTCCAAAAGTGACGACAGTTCTTGGTTTCGGGATGATTTTCGAATCCCAAAAATGCGCGACACACGCGGGCGCTTGCGGACGCTTTGCGAATACCTGCGAACACCTTTGGACGCTTTGCGAACACTTTGCGAACACAAACGCAACGACTTTATAATTTGGTCGCCTCCTGGACCCAGGGACCCCAACCTTAAAACGGAAACCCTTCTGCGGAGCCTTCGGGACAATGTCACGTCCCACGTGAGCGCGCGCTGATTAAGGCTAACGCTTTATTTTAGGGGGTCCCCCTTCAAGTCCAGAACCTCCAAGGCATTGCATGCGAGCAGTTGACAAGATACATGCCAACCTCTTAGCAGGACGCCTCAACGCTTGCCTAAACATTCTACATATATGTGAGGATTGGCCTTGTTGCAGGTCTGGTTCGGGGGTTGAAGAGATTGGTGCTTCAAGCTCACAATCAGGAAGCTTGATTTCCAGATTAAGGGGAGTTGCAGCCGGGGATTTGCTGGAAGGTCCACGGCCACACCTACTAGATCTGAAAATGCTTTGCCAGCTGCTCTTGACACGCCCAGGTTGAAGATGATAGAACACAAGCACTAAATCGCAAATACTAATCCAAAACCTCCTCTGTCAGATTTTCCAAAGGACTTGGAGCATATAGAATTATGTACGTAGACCTTCATGTGTCTCCTTGCCTTTCTAAAGTTTCAAAGATTCTAGAAAATTTGCGGGCCTTTTCAAAATCTTAAGAAACCTTTGCTTTTTTTTAGAAAGCTGATCGTTCTAGAATTCAATGACTTTCCAACATTTTAAAAAAGCACAATAAACTTTCTAAAATCATTAAAGGCTTTAAAATTCAAAGAAAATCGATTTTCACTATCTTATGGACTTTAAGGGTTTTAAAGAATTTGCAGGCTTTCTAAAATCTTAAGAAACCAAGAAAATCATACTATTCTTGGCGAAGGCCAGATTTTTTTCAAATCTTTAAAACAATTGAATCCTTAAAACTCTAAGAAACCAGCTTTTAAACATTTTACGGATTTTAAGGAGTTTAAAGATTTGAAAAAATTTAAGGACTTTCTAAATTTTAAGAAACTAAGAAAATGAAATTAATTTTGTCGAAGGCCAGATTTTTGTAATTTCAAAATCTTCTAAAATCTTAAAAAGGTTTGAAAAGCGGGTTTGATAGTTTTACGGATTTTACGCATTTTAAAGATTGTAAAAAAATCAAAAAAATCTAGCCTTCGCCAAAAATATATATTTTTGAAAGGTTTTAAAGATTTTACATGGTTGTTTAAATACTAGGGTGCCTTTAAAATCCTTAAAATTCTACCATATCCGCTTTTCAATTTAAGATTTTAAGGATTTTAAAGACTTTGAAAATTTTAAGAAAAAGGCCTTCGCCAAAAAAAATGCATTCTTTAAAGATTTTAACGATTTCAAGAGCTTTTCACAGTTTTTAGAAGCCCGTAAAATCCTTAAAATGTGAACTAAGAAATCCGTTTTCAAAATTTCAAAGTTTTTAAAGATTTTGCATCTTTTTAAAAAATCCGGCCTTCGCAAAAAATGATGTATTTTTTCTGAAGGTTTCAATGGTTTCAAAAGCTTTTTAAAATTTTAGGAAGCCCTTAACATATTCAAAGCCCTTAAAGTCCTTAAATTTGTAAGGAAGCCGATTTGAAAATGTTAAAGATTTTCAGGAATCTGGCCTTCGCCAAATCTTGTTTTAATTTTGGTTTCTTAAAATGTTCGAAAGCCTTTAAATTCTTTAGAATCTTTAAAATCATGAAAAGCTGATTCACTCAGAATTTCAATGTTTTAATGATTTTAAGGGCTTCCTCTAAAGTGGTTAAAAAAACAACATTTAAAGCCCTTGAAATCTTCAAAAAAATAAAATATTTTTGGCGAAGGCACGATTTTTTTCAGTTTTATGTTTTTTAATCCTTCAAATTTTATTTCTCTTATTTTGATTATTGGAATCACTTAAATGGGCTGGAAACCATTTCGTTAGGAACTATTTTATTCCCCACCCTTGTTGTGGGGTTGTTAGATTTTCAAGTCTATGTCTCCTCGCCCTCCGCCAGGAGCCTGCTTGCAGTGCTCCATGGCAACGTATTCCTGCGGTGCCCAACGGCAGAATATCCCTGCAGTGCTCAAGTACCAACCTGGAAAGCCTGGGGTGCCCTTTTTAAGGTGCACTGGCCTGAGTTGAATGTTCTTGGGTGCAGTTACGGGTACCTTTGGGAAAGTGCCTCATTTCTGCTTTGATGGCTCCTTGAGATAAATGCCACATGCAGTACATCTTGGGGCGTTGCTATGAAGATACCATCGCAGAAAAACCTTTATCACAGCCCAAACTACCTCAAAGCAACATAACCTTCCAAGCAAGAGAATTCCTGGGCCTGGCGGTGGCTGATGATGCCATGGCGCAGGACTGGCGGGTCACAATGATGTTTCTTGCTTATTTAAAGTACCGTGAGCAAGGGAACCCATCTCAAGTTTAAGATGCAATGCACTTTCACCAGCGCAGTCCGAGGTTCAAGCAATATCTCTGTACTGTTCTGTCATGCACAGAACGTATGGAAACGTGTCTTGATTGGACCGCTATGCGGCCCACGAAGTCCTCGTCGACTTGACAGCTAAATGCTAAGCAGTTTAAGCTATCAACATTGCGCGTGGCTGCATTCTTCATCGAATGCACAAGATGTGCGAAAAAATGAAATTTCGGCATCAGTTTAAAACGAGGCACTTCTTGACGTAGTGCCTCCATCGCAGCCTCGTTAAACCACTCCATGAAAGCCATGCCTTGTACTGAAATCTCAGAAGCACGATGTGACTTGACCCATAAAGCTTCGTGATAGCTAGCTGTCATGAAGCGATTGACCGCGACCAGTCCGTCATAGATGACCGTCAAAACATTCTCCACCTCTTCGGAGCAATCAGCTAGAATCTTCGCATAGAAAGTTTCAAGGTAGAGGGCCAGGAGGGTCGTGTCAGCTCCTTTGAACCATCTCCTCAGAGGTATAAAGGGGAACTCGAATAAAGCCAAAAGTGTGTCTGTCTGTGTGCGTGTGTGCGTGTGTGTGTGTGTGTGTGTGTGTGTGTATGTGTGTGTGTGTGGTGTATTTCAGGAAAGCCGGTAGTAGATGTGTAGACCCCAAATGAACACCAAATACACGAATTAAACCTTTCCCAAGTTGCCCAACAGGATAGTCGGCCATCGTGTCTAGCCCCAGCAAGTCTTTAGTGAGGCCAGTCATGCGCAGGTATTTCCCACGAGTGCGGCACCATTCTTTTGCATCATCATAGAAGCGCTGCATACGGGTTTCGAAGGCCCCTGAACCCAGGCATCCCTGATCAGATAGGGTTACCTTAGTTGGATTGGGTTTGCAAAGTTTGCAATTGATTTATCCAAGGGCACAAATCTACAAATGAAAAAAATCGACAATTTGGCAAGGTACGATCGCCGAAGCAACATAGTCAGCCACAACCACTTTATGACAAACATGAAAAAGATCAACAGCATAAAAGCCAGCAAGGTCATTCGGGTTCTGCGGAATTCTTGACAAGGGCGATGGAATATTCCATGGTAAAGGGTTGTCAGCATGGAGCCAGCGGGCATCAGAGCGAAATTCATTCCACCTGAAGTTCTTTTGGCCAGCCCTGCATAAGTGACAGATCCCCGGCGGGGAATCTGTATTTCCACGAGAATCACGAAGATGATGTCTACATAATCTTCCTGCCTTGGTTAAGGCAGGCCAATCGCCTTTGCAAGCAATGATCACCGGATAGATCTTGTCCATGCCTGGAACATTCTTAACGGGAATCCCATTCTCATAGCATTCCTTGAGATCCGAAGCCCATGCGTCCAACAAGTTGTGAAGAATCGCTTTCTTGCGCAAGTAGGTGCGAGCTAGCAAAACAGAAAAGAGGAATCTCGACAGGTAGCTGCTCCCCAAAAAGTTGTGATCAACATTTCTTTTCGAACCTTTGCCGCACACAATTTGAGCGGATAGTATCATCAAGCCCTTCTTCTTGTGAGAAGTGCCCTCGTCAAGGTGCAACATCATAGGAAGGCAACCATGAAGGCGATCTTTATGAGTTGTAAAGACATCGTGGCCAGCAACACGCTTGTACCTCATCCAAAAACTTAGGTGAGCAGGGCTATTCCCAGCAAGAAGGTGAAGAATTTTTCCAGCTGTGTTAAAGGCTCCAATAAGATCACGCATTCGTAGCATGGGATGCGCGCTCTTCAGTCCAATGTCCGTGTAGGAAACCCGCACATCAGCTTGCAGCCCAAATTCCTTGAATACTTTAGGCAGCCTGTTGTCATGACCCGTGGAATGAAGCCTCTCCAAACGATATATGAACTCGGAAGATTCAATAGGATTGCTTGCCTCCAGCTCCCGATGCATTGCCGCCGCCAATCTACAGGCATGCTTCTCACTAACCTTACTATACTGTAGAGTTGTGGCCACAAATTCAGGACATTAATAATCAGAAACATGAATTCGTTGGAAAAAAGAAACAATCACCCAAAAACCTATGCCTGCTTTCCTTAAGAGTACCCCCGATGCCACAGACTCTGCCACAGCATGCGCCACAGGACCAGCTGTCTTCTGGCGCTTCGCTGCAGTACCTCCACCATTGTTTCTGGGGTTTGAGTTCATGGGGCTTTGCTGATTGCTCAATCATACACAAGACATTTTTCCATTTGCCCGTCCAGCAATCCTGTGTCACGACACAGCATGCTCTGCAGCGAATTTGAAGTCTAGCTGGCATGTACAACTAAAGACTTTAAAGGATGTTTCGAGGAATCACCAGAGAATGCCAAGCCCCCTGTATGAAAGATTGTTCCACTTACATACCCAAAAACTGTATCGAGTGAATCCCCACTCAAAGCCCAACATACAAAACAAGTATGTCTATGTAGACCTAAATATAAATGTGCAAAGAACTGTACATGGCATCCCTTGTCCCCAACACCCTGAAGAAGTGGTTGCTTCTCAACCCATAAGGGCAACAAAATGTTGAACCCAAGGCTGCCTACAGAGATCCATCGGCGATCGCGCAATCTTCGAGGGCCAGGTCTACATAGGTTTATAGGGTTTATAGGGTAGGTAGGGCAGCGGTTAGAGTATGAAATGAAGAAGTTTGAAAGAATTCATGCGTTTGGGGCCGAATGGATTTACTTACCCTTGGCTTTTCCAGGGTTCTTCTTAACCTTGGAGCCCTTTTCAGCCCCCTTGCCCTTGCTAGCACTTGTGCCAACATTGGAAGGCTTTTTAGAAGTTGACTTGTCCGCATCCTGGGGCTTCTGGGCTTTGAGCAATGTCCTGAGCGGTGCTGTGATGGGAACACAGCATAGGAAATTAGATCATGGAGAAATAAGGTGGGAACTTTTTCAACTTCGTCTCCTCCATGATGAAGCGAGCACACCTTGGGCAATATTGGGGGAGGCACTTTATATTATGGCACTTTGAGGTTGGTTCTGTTGCGTAGGGACCGTACATTGTCTCCGTCTCGGCCACGACATCAGCCAGATCCTGGAATGTCCTCAAGCAAATCACATGTGAAAATCAATAAGTCACTTGAGACAACCCATGACTAATTTTGAGGAGAGGGGCTTCTTGCGCATGGACTTCTTGTTGCCCGTGTACTTCGCTTTGATTTCGGCAATCCGGTCATGGTACTCCGACAACTTTGTTGCGTAGCCATTCACCGTTCCCAGAGCCCTTAGGTTCAGATGATAAGGCAACACCATTATGAAGGTTCAAGGCTCAGTATAAGATTTCGTTGAGGCTCTCTTGCACCTTCTTCCCCGACAATTTCTCAAGCTTACCCGCCGTGATCTCTACCCGAGTCTGGACGCGGAGGAGCTGGGACAAGACCTCGCCAGCTTTCTCGATCGCCTGAGCAGGCATGGGGTTGGGGTCGGTTGGGTACATGGAATTTGTTTCTATAATTCCATAGAGGGTCTCATGTTAACACAATAATGGGATCAAGTTGCATCAACTAGGTCTTCGAACTCAATGTCTTTCTTGGGGGCGCTTGCCGTTGAGGATGGAGACTTGGAGGGCTTCTTGCTCTTTGTCTTGCCGCGCTTTGCGTCTTTCTTTCTGGTTGCCTTATCCTTTTTGTTCTTCTTGCTCTTCTTGCCCTTCTTGGGGGTCTCAACACTTGCACTCTCAGAATCATCGCTTGCTTCACTTGCGCTGTCACTGGCCGAGTCCCCCGAGGCATCATCCATAGGCGCCGCACCACCTTTGCCACCAGCTAGCTGCGCACAGAACTTCTCCTGCCAACATTCTCTGTGGAGGACCTTGAGTTGGCCCTTGGTCATTTCCTCCGTCCAATACTCCCATAGGCCTTTCTCATACTTGTCGCGCCTTGGGTCAACATAGGTTTTAGGGGTTGTTGAGGGTGCTGTGTAGGGTGGCCTGCTTAAAAGGACCTTGCAAGAACTGTGGATCTGGCCTCATGTGCGTCCTCTTTCGACTTGGGTGGCTGCAATACTTGATAATGCTGGCAATACGCGACCTAGGTATGACAGCACATGAGGATTTGTAACGCAAGCGTTTAAGACAGGCATGTCCATGCATTCATATCAGGGCCCTGGCTTTGAGAACTTGAGCTCAGTGCGCATACGCTCTTTGGTGTACCAGCCGCAGGTCACTACCAACTCGTTGGACTTCTCCTTCTGGATAAAGTACTCAACCAAACGGTTCCAGTTCTCCTGCAAGGGCTTCAGGGATGTTATTTGCAGGAATGATCTAGTCAATGGTAAACAAGAACAACTGATGACAAGACTATGTATGCATTCTGTCCTTGCAGCCCTGGCACTTGACCATCATCCGGATGAGATCCTTCCTAGGGCCTCCCTTGGAATCCCAGCGCTTCAGCACATCCGGGCTGACCGTCACACATCCCGTTTTCTTGGATGGGGTGACCATGCGTCGGACTTTTGCTTCACATCTCTTCCACTCGGCTGAACCTTCCTGAAGCAAACAATGGAAAATGAAAAGCTCCCCCAACTGCCTAGGTGATGCACTACAGTTGCCTCAACCTCCTTTTCCTCCTGCTCCTCATCGCCGCTGGTTGCTTCGCTTTCGTGGGAGTCGACGCGAAGCTCCGCCTCCGGGGACCATGGAAAAATTATGCTGCTGACAAAAGGCTGTCATGTAATTACCACATTCATACCACATCACATGCGAGCAGAAGAGACTTGAATCAAACATGGACATGTGCACAGCGGGAGTTTGTGTGAATCACAGCTAGCAGCAGAGAGGTGCCAGGGCCTTCAGCTTGTTGCGCAAGTCATCGTCAGTCAAGTCCACCACCATTTCCGTGTCAGCACCATCATCATCCTCAAGATCCTGCAGCGAGCAAGCCAAGGCATATCGATTCTGGACATGCAACTCCAACAGACGCTTCATGGGTTTCTTCTCTGCATAATTTTCGCAGTCCTGCTGAGTGTAGGGATCCAGCTGGGCAGGAGGTACTTCATCAGGTGAAGGGCTGCTAGGCTCATTCTTCACGGGAGAAGCATTCTTCACAAGAGAAAGATTCTTCGCAGGAGAAACATGTTCAGGTTCTGGGGCTTGGGGTCGCGGCGCCCGCAGGACGTTTAGGTGGCACCTGGCAGCCTTAGCTGGAGTAGTATGATTTGCTAAACTTCCCAGACATCCATGTGAGAGCAGTGGTGATGTTAATGAATTCAATTGCTTTGGCAAGGAACTGCAATCTTCTCATCTAGCGTCATATTCTCATCCAACTGGAATTTCTGCGCCATCATCAAAGACTGGCCCCGCAAGAGGCTGCTGCACGACCACTGCTTCGAAACCAGCGGCGCCAGTGCTACGGAGGAGGCCATTTCACTACTCAATCTATAGCCAAGGGAGCTAGGACATAACTTGTCCGAAGTAATCCTCTTAAAAAGCTGACTGTTCTGGAATTGGAAAGTGTACGTAAAATAGCATATTTTTATTATGTTTTTTAAGCCACTTTCCTGCCTTTTTCTGCCACTTCACGAAGTGGCACTTAAAGTGGCAGAAATCCAGATCCGCACCCAACCCTTCAAATTCCCGAGAAAGCCTACCAGACTTGCATATTTGGTTTAAAACACATTCTTGCCAATGGCTTACCCTTGACAATCTACTACAAACTTCCCTTATAGATTTTAGCCTGTCCCCCTGACGCAAAGCTTTGCAAGCTCTAGCAGTATACATTTTTTCGCAAGCTATCTGAGTCAAGCTTCTGTACATGGCCCTGCTACGGAGAGCGCACTCCTTGATTTTTTATAGAATCTTTGGCTCACCCGAAGAATACATAAGCGCTGCTTGTTGCTTCACAAGGCCCTTTATACTCCTTTAGGATCTAGACGGGTAAAGTTTTGGGCAGCAAACTCTGCCAATTGTGGAGGCACTTCCAAATCATTTGACCCTTTCAGGTACTGAACTACCTCCAACATGCGGGCATCTTGCCAGAGGTCTTCACACAGCCTGCTATCTGCAATAGCCGCCATGGGGTTTTCAAAGTCATCCACCTAAAGGGCTTCTTGTGGGGACTTAGGGTTGGAGGAGTTTGGGTACAATGACAATCTGTACACAACAAGTGTTTGAACTAGCGGCCTGGAGGATTGGGGCAACTTGCTCTTCAAGCAGTTTAGGGAAGGCCCTCACAAAGCGCAGCCCGAAGCCCACTGGATACCGCCTTAGTTCATTCAAAAGTGGTGTACCCCAAAACAAATCATTGCCCTTGTTGAAAAAGCTTCCCCAAACTTTTTATAAAGCTTCCTGATTAGACTGCCTAGGCACCCAGAGGCCTTTAACTCAGCTTTGTTACCGGTAAAGACCTTTTTACCAGTCTTGGGGTCGATCTTTATCTTAGCCAGCACACACTTCCGAACCTTTCTCCTCTCCTTGGCCGTCATGGGCCTGGAATCCTGAAAGACTGAAATGCCTCTGCTGTTGGACCAGAGCCGGGTCCTTTTCGGAGACTTGGCTCCAAAACGAGCCATCCAGAACCCCACTCGGTGAACCTTAGCATTACCATGGAAGAGTGCGCACGGGGAACTCATGCAATGCTACATGGCAACTTCTGGGTCCAAGTGGCTCTTACACATTTGAGTAGTTGCTGCATTCTCGGATGCCGCAAAACCATGGAAGAAGCTGGCTGTTCCAAAACCCATGTTCCAGATTTACTCATCGTGAGAAGAATTGCAAGCACCATCCTGCTTGATAGAGGCTTTTTATAATTGTTAAAAACAACACAGGAAACCTTTCCTAGCCCTGCCTAGATGTAAGGATGTTGGACTCTTCCACCGTGCGGGAGTTGGGATCACCCAGCGGATTGAAATATTCTCTTTTTGTAGAGTGTCGTGAGATGCACACCCAGGTGCTGCAAACGAGCCCAAACAAGATGCAGAAAGCGCCCTGCTTCGCCTTGAGGATGGTGGCAATTAATAGCCTCAGCTTATAGGAAGGTTTCCGGGAAGATTAAGATTTCGGATTGGGTTGGTCATAATTTGAGGCAGAGGTTCAAGGTTTGGTTTGTCTACTTTAAAGGGTCCCCAAAGTCCAAAACTAACCCATCCAAAGGAAATACTTGAAAAGTTGTTTGCATATATAGGCTATATGGTGTAATGATATGTGATCAAACCGAGAAACGCCATTCCTGATGAACTGAGAAGGTCCATTGGATTGCCTATGTTTTGTGGAAGTTGGCGAGCCCTTGCATAATCCTTCCAGAAATCTAGCTCCAAAGAACCAACTGTCAAGCCTGCGCGCCGCAAGCATCTGGACAGCATAGCCGCCCCTGCAAAGACTTCGATACCATCATACTCCTGCCCAAGCAAAGATCGAATTCTATAGGAAAAGCTTACATGATCATAGATTGTCAATCCCACCCCCACCTCGTCCAAGAGAACCTTCTGGTTGAAGTACACGTATATAATCGCCAAAATCAAGACCTGGGCGTAGGGGGCATATGTTCTTTGGAATATGTTCTGGCATATGTATCAGGAGGTCTGGGTCACTCTTAATTAAGGCTAGGCACTCCAGGCGCTCGGAGCTGCATAAGCTGGCTGAGTATATGGAGTAGCGCAGGCATGGCACAGGAGAGGGGTCAAAGGAAGGCTTACATGTATATGGAATGTTCGATCACGGAAGGCTGAATGCACACACTCGCTCCAATATTGTTGGTAGCAAACTACACGAAGAACTCACACCCTCCTACCCTACCCTTACTACCGCACCAAAGGAAACATCCTGGGGCACTTGATGGCGCCTCATCCCGAACTCTGTGCCGCTCTTTCCATAAGCGACTCATTCTCCACGGTGAGCACCTGGCAAGGAATTATTGGGACTGGGTAATCACTTTAAACTTGTACGCATTGGCTGGAAGCTGAATGAGACAGATTTTTCCGGCTGCATTGCAATGACAGGGTCCTTCAACAGCTCCCCGCTGCCAGAGGTATCGCGAAGGTTGATCTAAAGCACAGGTTCTTCAAGGTGAGGCCCCAGAAATCATTTTCTAATCTAGGTTTGTCAGCTAGAATTGTCATAATTCTGGACCCCACCCTACCCCGCGCCACGTGGAATGGCTTCGCTTCACACTGTCACATGGCAACCATGTAGCCTACAGCTACATCTCACTCAAAACCCTGGCTGTATCTCTGTAACACAGCCGCCAGCACTGAGGAAACAGCTTCCACTAACGTAGCACAGCAAGTCCATAATAATAGAACAAGTCCACCACATTTTTTGTGTTTGAAAAGATTCAGAAAGTCAACACGACACCAGTATCACTAATCATCCGCACATGCTACGCAGTTCCAGCGCCGCCCCCTAAAGCTGGGACGCAAACACATATGGCCCAAGATGGCCCATTGGCATGTTGAGCAGCCCAAGATCAAGGATCCATCTTCGCTGTAGCCAGTGTAGTTCCCTGGCCTCAACCGAATTTGGTCCATGGATTTGCTGCTCCCTGCACTGGCTGACTTAGAAGATCTAGCATTTGCCTTCGGCAAAGCTTGCTTCTTCGCACTTGCCTTTGCCTTCGCCTTTGCCTTAGCCTTTGCCTTCGCCTTTGCCTTGGGCAATGACGAGGCTTGGTTTCTTGTCTTCTTCGGCTTGATGCTCGGTTCCGTCTCCGAAGCCTCCTCGCTGCCAGAAGCCTGCGAAGACTCCGAGGTCTGGTTCTGATCAATCTCCTTGGAAATCTTGGCCTGGCCACCCTCATCCTCG